TCTTTATCGGTCTTCGTTGGGGGCCACAGTGGTCCCTGGGAGCCAAACTGTTTGAATGTACTACAAATCCCATAATCCATGATCCACCACCCCAAAACTGTACCAAGATGTAAAGGGGTTCAAGGGAGTTATGTGTGCCAAGTTTGGTCCAGGTGCGTCACCCATGTTGGTCACAGTGGCCTGGGAAAGTGGCAGCTAATCAGAAAGCTGCCACATACACTTCCCACCCTTCCACCCTCCGCATACAAACAAACATTCAAGTTTATTATCTATATATATAAAAATGGAAAGGGCGTCCAACGGGACAGCAACATGCGAAAAAACCCCGACGAAAACTCACCAAATTTGGCATGCAAGAAAAAAGGGGAGGGAGGAAAGACGGAGCAAAGGAAGAAGAGAAAGAAGGAGAGAAAGAGGGAGGGAAGGAAAGAAAGAAATCAAGAGAAGGAAGGATGGGAGCAAAAAGCTAAGGAAGGAAGTAAACAGGTAGAGAAGGAAGAAAGGAAAGAAGAAAAGGAAATGAGGGAAGGAGTGAAAGAAGGAGAGAAAGAGGGAGAGAAGGTTGGCCACAGCAATGTTTGGCGGGTAAAGCTAGTATATAGATAGATAGATAGATAGATAGATAGATAGATAGATATAGATCAAAGAACCCTAGGAACAGGCCTAAAACATGATTGCATGTGAACGTTCCCGTCTTTCTTCAAATGCAGATCTTGCAAAAAAAAATTTGGTGTCATTTTGCAGCGAAGAGGTAAAAATGTCTCTTGTGCTGCTGGGCTGGAAAGAGTCGCTCACAGAAACAGGAGAGCGGCTTTCTTGGAAAGCAATCGCATCTCCGTTATGCAACTTCGAGGGCTGTTGAAATACAGAACGAGAGAGAGAGAGAGAGAGAGAGAGAGAGAGAGAGAGAGGCTCCCTTTTTTGCACCGAACCAGACCGGGCCAAAGAAAACCTCCAGCCGGGTTGGGAAGGGAGGGAAGCAAAGAGGGCCAAGAAGAGGGCCTTTTCCAAGACCTTTCGGCTCCAATCGAGCATAAACAGTCCCAGAACTCCCACAAAGTAACTTCCCTGGAGCATCACAGGTTGGGACCCAGGCAAACGCATCCCCAAGGTCTACACTGAGACTGAAGTGGACGAGCGATGACCTGGGATAACGTCCCAAGCGACCTGGCTGAGGCTGGCCCAAGGCGCCCCTTGCCAAGAGGCTGCCCTGTCCTGAACTGACTCTCGTCCATCCTCACGAGGGTTTCCGTGGCCGTGTTGACATGCTTCGACTTAGAGCCACAATAAATAGCATTACATAAGCCGCACAACGGGCTACTATTATTAATTCCCGCGCTCGTTTCTATGGGAAGGCGTCGAGCGGGAGGTCGGGTCTGGCCTCGCACTGTTTGGCTTGGATGGTCTCACGGAGTCAAGGGAGGAGAGAAGGAAGAAGAAAGAGGAAGGGAGGAGGAAGGGAAGGAGACGGAGGAGGGAAGAGAGGAAAGGAATAAGGGGAGAAGAGAGGAGGACAAGGGGAGGAAGAAGAGGGGAGAAGAGGAAAAGATGGAAGAAGAAAGGGGAAGGAAGGGAGAAGAGGAGAGGAAGAAGAGGGGAAGGGGGGAGGAGGGGGAGGGAAGAGGAAGAAGAGGGGAAGGAGAGGTGAGGAGGGGAGAGGGGAAGAAGTGGGAGGAGAAAGGGAAGATGAGAGGGGAGAAGAGGGGAATGAGGTGAGGGAAAGAAGAGAGAGGGGAGAAGAAGGAGAGGAAGAAGAGGGGAGAAGAGAAAAGGATGGAAGAAGAAGGGGAGGAAGGGAGAAGGGGATGAAGAAGGAGAAGAGAGGAAGAGGAGGAGGGAAGAGGAAGAAGAGGGGAAGGAGAGGGGAGAGGGGAAGAAGTGGGAGGAGAAAGGGAAAGGAAGATGAGAGGGGAGAAGAGGGGAATGAGGTGAGGGAAAGGGGAGAAGAGAGAGGGGAGAAGGAGGAGAGGAAGAAGGGAGTAGAGAAAAGGATGGAAGAAAAAAGGGGGATGAAGGAGAAGGAGAAGAGAGGAAGAGGAGGAGGAGGGAAGAGGAAGAAGAGGGGAAGAAGTGAAAAGAAGTGGGAGGAGAAAGGGAAAGGAAGATGAGGGGAATGAGGTGAGGGAAAGGAGAGAAGAGGGAGGAGAGAAGGAGGAGAGGAAGAAGAAAGGGAATGGAAAGGGGGGAGGAGAATGGGAAGAGAAGAGGAGCGGGGAGAAGGAAGGGAGGGGTGGAAGGGAGAAAAGAAAGGAAAGAAGGGAAAGAAGGGGGAGGGAAGAAAGGAGGAGAAAGGAGAGGAAGGAAGAGAGGGGAGGGGGGGAAAGAGGGGAAGGAAAGAGAAGAAGGAAAGAGAAAGGGGGGAGGAGAAGAAGGGAAGAAGAGGAGAGGAAAAAGGAAGGGGGAGGAGAGGAAAGAAAAAGGGAGAGGAAGGAGGAGAAGAGGGAGGGAAGGAGAGATGAGGGGAGAAGAGGGGAATGAGATGTGACAAGGAGGGAAAGAGGAAAAGAGGAAGGGAGGAGAGGAAAGGTAAGGGGAGGAGAGGAAGAAAAGGGGGAGAAGAGGAAGGAAAGGAAGAAAGGGGACAAGAGGAAGGGAAGGGGATAAGACTGGGGGCAAAGTTAGAAGAAGGGAGGAGGAGGAGAGGAAGAAGAGGGGAAGAGAAGGAGAAGGGCAGGGAAAGAAAGAAGAGGAGAAGGAAATGGGGGAGGTAGACCAGAGAAGGAAGGGGGAGAAGAGGGAAAGAAAGGGAAAGGAGAGGGGAGGAAGGGGAAGGAGAGGAGGAGAAGGGAGGAGGAGAAGGAAGAAAAGAAGAGAGGAGGGAGGAGAAGAAGAAAAGAGAAGGGAAGGAGAAGTGAAGAGGAAGAGGGGGAGGAAAAAGAGGGGAGGAACAAGAAAAAAAGGGGGGAGAAGTGAGGTGAGAAGCGGAGGAAGAAGAGAGGAGAGGAAGAAGAAGGTAAGAGAAGGAGAAGAGCAGGGAAAGAAAGAAGAGGAGAGGGAAATGGGGGAGGGAGACCAGAGAAGGGGAGGAGGGGAGAAGAGACCAGAGAAGGGAGAGGAGAGGGGAAGGGAAGGGGTGGAGAGAAGGAAGATAAAGAGGAAGAGAGGAGGGGAGAAGAGGAGAAGAAAAAGAGGAGAGGAGAGGTGAGGAGGAAGAGGGGGAGGAAGAAGAGGGGAGGAACAAAAGAAAAAGAAGAGGAGAGAAAGAGAGGAAGAAGAGAGGAGGAGAGGAAGAAGAGAAGGGGAGGAAGAAAAAGGAGAGGGGAGGGGAGGAGAAAGAGGAGAGGTGGGGTGAAGAGGAGGGGAGAAGAGGAGAGAAAGAAACGGAAGGAATGGGGAGGAGAGGAGAAGAAGAAAAGGGGAAGAGGAAGGCAGGAGAAGGGGGGAGAGGAAGAGAGGAGGGGAAAGGGAGAGGAGAGGGGAATGAGATGTGAGGAAGGAAAGGGGAAAAGAGAAAGGAGAAGGGAGAAGAGAAAGGTAAGGAGAGGGGAGGAGAGGAAGAAGAGGGGGAGAAGGGGAGGAAGAGGAGGAGATGAAGGAAAGGAAGAAAGAGGACAAGTGAAGAGGAAGGGAAGGGGATAAAATTTGGGGGGAAAGTTAGAAGAAGGGAGGAGGAGGAGAGGAAGAAGAGGGGAAGAGAAGGAGAAGAGCAGGGAAAGAAAGGAGAAGGAAATGGGGGAGGCAGACCAGAGAAGGAGGGGAGAAGAGTGAAAGAAAGGGAGAGGAGAGGGGAAGGGGTGGAGAGAAGGAAGAAAAAGAGGAAGAGAGGAGGGGAGAAGAGGAAGAAGAAAAAGAGGAGGGAAGGAGAGGTGAGGAGGAAGGGGGAGGAGCAAGAGGGGAGGAACAAGAAAAAGAAGAGGGAGGAGAAGTGTGGTGAGAAGAGGAGGAAGAAGAGAGAAGGAGAGGAAAAAGAAGAAGGGGATGGGGAAGAAGAGAAGGGGAGGAAGAAGAAGGAGGAGGGGAGGAGAAAGAGGTGAGGTGAAGAGGGGAGAAGAGGAATGAAAGAAACGGAAGGAGAGGGGAGGAGAGGAGGAAGAAGAAGCGGAAGAGGAGGAGAAGAGAAAGAGGAGAAGAGGCAGAGAGAGGATCTTGCTCTTCCCAACAGGCTCAGGCAAAAGCAAACGAAGAGGAGAAAGAAAGAGACGTTACCACCAGGTAGAAGAATACTTCTGTTGACATGTTATATTTTTGCCGGTAAATATTCATTACGCAACCTCAAAGGCACACCATTCGCCCCCCTTTGTACACACCGACCCCTTTGTCGCCCTCACACGAGAGTCCGCCACCTGCTTACTCCAGGAATATCTCGTAAAATCCAAGGCTTTCGATGCCAAGCCCAACACAAAAGCTCTGTTGTGTGTGTGTGTGTGTGTGTGCGTACGTCGTCGCCTTTTCCCCCCTTGGAAACAGGGGATGCTGAGTCTTGCCGCCCCACCTTTTGCAACGCAAGAGTATTGCTATTTCCATGGAACGGAAAGAAATATTGCTGTCTTGTGAAGATAATGCGTGTCTCCCCTCTCGAAGCGGGATAAGGCGATGAAGACGACAACGACAACGACAAACCCACCCCAACGCCTCCCAAGGCAACGGGGCCCGCCTCGCCATGGCTTGCAAGAGAGAAAGGAGAGTATCGGCGCAATGAAACGATGCCCCGTCTCCGCTGTCGTGGTCTCCCGTGAAACACACGTGACATTCAAGGGAGCGACGAGGTCGAGGAGGCCCTCAAACGAACATCTGTATCCGCTCCCGGATGGTCTGTCGGCAGATGGGGCAGACGGCCAGGGCGGCGCTGCACTCATGGCACGAGCCGTGTCCGCACTGGAAGATCAGTTTGATGTGGTTGTCGATGCAGATGGGGCAGGTGATGCGCTCCTCCATTTGCCGGTAGCGGTTCTGGAGGTCCTCCATCAGCTGCTTCTGCTGGTCGGTGGCCTCTGAACCGGGGCTGCACTCCACCTCGGAGCTGTCTGGGTCGGGAAAGAGGGACTATTGTTATTATTGCTATTATCACTCCCATTATTGCTGCTATTGTGACTAATGTTATTAGTAAATACAATGCAACTGGTTCGTTCCAATATGATAATAAATAAATTACGACCACTACTATTCTCAGTATTATTACTACTACTGCTATCATTACTGTTATCGTTACTACTACTATTATTATTGAGTATCACTATTATTATGACTATTACTAGTATTATTATGACTATTATTATATTATTACTAATACGAGTATTATGACCACTAGTATTCTCAGTATTATTACTACTATTGCTATCATTACTGTTATCATTACTACGATACGATAATAAATAAATTACTAACACGAGTATTATGAGCACGAGTATTCTCAGTATTATTACTACTATTGCTATCATTACTGTTATCATTACTACTACTATTATTATTATTATTATTGAGTATTACTATTATTATCACTATTACTACTATTACAAGTATTATGATGACTATTATTATATTATTACTAATATGAGTATTATGACCACTAGTATTCTCAGTATTATTACTACTATTGCTATCATTACTGTTATCATTACTACTATTATTATTACTGGGTGTTACGGAGAGCGGCAGTTGGGCGCCTTGACGCCATTCTCGTTTCTTCTCTCCATGCCTCCATCTTTTTTTAAAAAAATATTGAGTATTACTATTATTATCACTATTACTACTATTCTATTACGAGTATTATTAATAATAGTATTATTATGACTATTATTATATTATTACTAATATGAGTATTATGACCACTATTACTCTCAGTATTATTTATTTATTTATTTATTATTTATTTCTTGCACTTATTGACCGCCACTCTCAGCCCTAGGGGCGACTCGTGGCGGTGAACAACAACAAAGAAAGACAGGATACAAAATCATAACAGTACATAACAAACTACTACTACAACATATACTTATGCTAAAAATCCGCTTCGTCTAATCCTGGGGTCATAGCCAAGTTCGTAGTCATAATCCATTCTAACGTCGTTCCACAGATACACTTAGTTGAAGGCCTGCTCGCAGAGCCAAGTTTTCAGGCTCCTACGAAAGGCCATCAAAGAGGGCGCCTGTCTAACTTCAGTAGGGAGGGTGTTCCACAGCCGGGGGGCCACCACCGAGAAGGCCCTCTCTCTATTATTACTACTATTGCTATCATTACTATTATTATTACTACTACTATTATTATTGAGTATTACTATTATTATCACTATTACTACTATTCTATTACTACTATTACAAGTATTAGTATGACTATTATTATATTATTACTAATACGAGTATTATGACCACTATTACTCTCAATATTATTACTACTATTGCTATCATTACTGTTATCATTACTACTATTATTATTACTGAGTATTACTATTATCATCACTATTACTACTATTACGAGTATTATTGTGACTATTATTATATTATTACTATTATTATTATTATTGCTATTATTATTAATACGAGTATTATGACCACTATTACTCTCAGTATTATTACTACTATTGCTATCATTACTGTTATCATTACTACTACTATTATTACTATTACTATTATTGCTATTACTACTATTAAAAGTATTATTGTGACTACTATTATTATATGACTATTATTATTGCTATTATTACTAATACGAGTATTATGACCACTAGTATTCTCAGTATTACTATTGCTATCATTACTGCTATTATGAGTATTATTATGACTACTACTATTGAGAATGATCATGACCATTACTATTATGAGTATTATTGCTATTATTGCTGTCATTACTGCTATGAGTATTATTATGACTACTACTATTGAGAATTATCATGACCACTATTATAATGATTATTATTACTATTATTGCTATCATTGCTGCTATTATGAGTATTCTTATGACTACTATTACTATTATCACTATTATTATGAGTATTGTTATTATCATTACTAATTAGTACTGTTGCTATTACTACTATTATTGTTATTTATTATTATTATTATTATTATTATTATTATTATTATTATGCTCTTCTGCCCAACTGTAGCAGATGGACCTCTATATCACTTCGAAGCTGAGTAGCCCATTTACTCTGTGGGTGGACCTGACTTACCTTGTTTTAACTTCTTGGTAATGTTCACCTGGCATTTGATGCATTTCTTCATCCTTCTGGAGCACTCTGCAGTGCGGACAAGAGAAAGGAATTGGTACAAAAGCGAGACTTATTCGTCACTCTCCCACAATACACTGAATAGTAGACGAAAAACTGAGTACGATCACGCGAGCATGAAAGGAGATTCCATTGAGGAAGAAGCTCTTTGGCAGTGGAACACACTACCTGGAAGTCCAGTGGAGTCTCCTTCTCTGTAGCTTCTTCTACAGGGGCTTGATGGTCATCTGTCAGGAGGGCTTTGATGGTGTCTCCCTGCCTCGCAGAAGAGGGTTGGACTAGATGGCCCTTGGAGCCCCTTCCAACCCTAAGCTTCTATGATTTGATCATCTAGCTATCGGTCTGTCCATCTAAGGGGTTGGACTAGATGGCCCTTGGAGCCCCTTCCAACCCTAAGCTTCTATGATTTGATCATCTAGCTATCGGTCTGTCCATCTAAGGGGTTAGACTGGATGGCCCTTGGAGCCCCTTCCAACCCTAAGCTTCTATGATTTGATCATCTAGCTATCGGTCTGTCCATCTAAGGGGTTGGACTAGATGGCCCTTGGAGCCCCTTCCAACCCTAAGCTTCTATGATTTGATCATCTAGCTATCGGTCTGTCCATCTAAGGGGTTAGACTGGATGGCCTTTGGGGTCTCCTCCAACTCTAGGATTCTGATTGGACCATCCATCCATCCATCCATCCATCCATCCATCCATCCAGGGGTAGACTCTGGAATCCAACTCTAGAATTCTGATCTATCTATCTATCTATCTATCTATCTATCTATCTATCTATCTATCTATCTCTTTATCTATCCATCTATCCATCCAACTAAGGGGGTGGACTGGATGGTCTTTGGGTGTCTCTTCCAACTCCAGGATTCTGATTTGACTGTCTATCCAGCCATCCAACCATCCATTCAACTAAGGGAGGGTGGATTGAATGCTCTTTGGGAGTCTCTTCCAACTCTAGAATTCTGATAGGACTATCCATCCATCCATCAATCCATCCATCCATCCATCTAAGGGGGTGGACTGGATGGTCTTTGGAGGTCTCTTCCAACTCCAGGATTCTGATTTGACCATCCACCCCACCCACCCACCCACCCACCCATACATCCAAGGGAGTGGACTGGATTAAGGAAGTCTATTATTTTGGTCTATCTATCTATCTGTCTGTCTGTCTGTCTGTCTGTCTGTCTATCTATCTATCTATCTATCTATCTATCTATCTATCTAAATAAAATCTATCTACTTAAGGTTAGACTGGATGGCCTTTGTAGTTGCCTCCAACTCTCGAATTTGATGATTTGACTATCTATCTGTCTACTCATCCATCCATCTATCTAAGGGGACTGGACTGAATGGTCTTTGGGGGTCTCTTCCAACTCTAGAATTCTGATTGGACTCTCCATCCATCCATCCATCCATCCATCCATCCATCCATCCATCCATCCACCCAAGGGTTGGGCTGGGTGGACTTTGGGGGTCTCTTCCAACTCCAGGATTCTGAATGGACTATCCATCCAGCCATCTGACCATCCATTCATTCATCTAAGGGGGTGGCCTGGATGGTCGTTGGAGATACCTTCCATATCTAAAATTCTGATTGGACCATCCATCTATCTACCCATCCATCCATCTATCTACCCATCCATCCATCTATCTACCCATCCATCCATCTATCTAAGAGGCTTGGACTGGATGGCCCTTGGGGCCTCTTCCAATCTTATGTGTCTATGATCCTCTATCTATCTATCTATCTATCTATCTATCTATCTATCTATCTATCTATCTATCCATTTATCTATCCATTTATCTATCTATCTCTATCTATTGGGGTTGGACTGGATGGCCCTTGGGGTCCCTTCCAAACAAGACTCTGTACAAGAATGAGAAATCGAATCAAGGGCTCCTGGGGTCACCAGAGGACCTCTCCCACCACCACAGCTCTCATACCTTCGCACACGATGCTGTGCTGGCAGGGGAAGAAGAGGACCAGCAGGGCCAGCTCGGAGCAGACGAGGCACTCGGAAGGAGCGGTCAGCTTGGCCACGCTGAGGTTGGTCATGGTGTTGGGGGTGGCGTGGACTCGCCGCAGGCTGCAGGTCACCGTGGAGCTCTCCAAGGAGTCGTGGTGTTCTCTGGAGCCATGACCAGTGGGAGGAAGAGGGGGAGAGATTCATTTCCACTGCCTTTGCGTGGTCTTTTCTCATCTACCTTAAGGAGGTCTCTCATTTCGCTCTATTATTATTATTATTATTATTATTATTATTATTATTATTATTATTATTTTACTGACACAGTAAAACCACAGTATGTCATGGTAAACAGGATATAAATGCTGGATTTCGTATCACAAAATCACAATTCGAACACTTCCCTTATATTATTATTATTATTATATAATTATTGTTGTTGTTGTTGTTATTATTATTATTATTATTGATTTCAGCAGGCTTTCCTAGTAGCATGGTCTTTCAAATGACAAGCAACCTTACCAAATTTTCTCATCAGTCTTAAGGAGGTCTATTATTTTGGTCTATTATTATTGCTATTAAGGAAGTCTATTATTTTGTTCTGTTATTAAGGAAGTCTGTTATTTTGGCCTATTATTATTGTTATTAAGGAGGTCTATTATTTTGCTCTATTATTATTGTTATTAAGGAAGTCTATTATTTTGGTCTTATTATTATTGTTATTCAGGAGGTCTATTATTATTGTTATAAAGGAGGTTATTATTTTGCTCTATTATTATTGTTATTAAGAAAGTCTATTATTTTGTTCTATTATTATTGTTATTAAGGAAGTCTATTATTTTTTTCTATTATTGTTATTAAGGAGGTCTATTATTTTGCTCTATTATTATTGTTATTAACGAGGTCTATTTTTTGGTCTATTATTATTGTTATCAAGGAGGTCTATTATTTCATTCTATTATTGTTGTTCTTAAGGAGGTCTATTATTTTGGTCTATTGATATTGTTCTTAAGGAGGTCTATTATTATTGTTATCAAGGAGGTCTATTATTTTGGTTTATTATTATTGTTATTAAGAAGTCTATTATTTTGCTCTATTATTATTGTTATTAAAGAAGTCTATTATTTTGGTCTATTATTATTGTTATTATGGAAGTATATTATTTTGCTCTATTATTGTTATTAAGGAAGTCTATTATTTTGCTCTATTATTATTGTTATTAAGGAAGTCTATTATTTTGTTCTATTATTGTTATTAAGGAAGTCAATTATTTGGTCTATTATTATTGTTATTAAAGAAGTCTGTTATTTTGGTCTTATTGTTATTCAGGAGGTCTATTATTCTTGTTTTAAAGGAGGATATTATTTTGGTCTATTATTATTGTTATTAAGGAAGTCTATCATTTTGGTCTATTATTATTATTATTATTATTATTATTAAGGAGGTCTATTATTTTGCTCTATTATTATTATTATTATTATTATTATTATTATTATTATTATTATTTTATTACATTTATTATTTTAATCTATTTATTATTACATTTACATTATTTTATTCTATTATTTTTATTACATTTATTATTTTACTCTATTATTATTATTAATATTATTATTAAGGAGGTTTATTATTATTATTATTATTATTATTATTATTATTATTATTAAGGAGGTCTATTATTTTGCTCTATTATTACTGTTATTAAAGGAGGCCTATTATTTTGCTCTATTATTATTATTATTATTATTATTATTATTATTGTTATTATAATAACAGTCTCAGCCTCCCAAGCGGAACAAGGTGGACACCATTCGGCCGATCCTACCTGAATTTTTGGGAGAAGTTTTTGATGAGCTGCATGATGCTGCCGTCCGTGACGAGGTCCAGAGGCGACTTGCCCCTATGGTTGGCGTAGTTGACGTCGGCCCCTTCTTGCGCCAAGTAGCAGGCGATGGCCGTCCCGACGTTCAGCTCCATGTTGCCGAGGAAACCGGAAGCCTGGAGCTTTGAGGGACACAAAACCCCATTAACCCCCTTGGTAAACATTCAGAGTGGGAAAGGGACCCCAAAGGCCATCTAGACCAACCTAGAGCTGACATTTGCGACCTCAGCAGGTCAGAGCTAACGTTTGAGGCACCAAAACTGTCACGATCCCTCGTTACCTTGGCGTACAGGCTCTCCTCGCCGTCCTGCTCCTCCTCCGTGGCCGCAGCGGATGCCACGTGCTCCCTCTCCAGCACGATGTGCATGGCGGTGTCCCCGTCCTCGTCCTCGGCGTTGACGTCGGCGCCCTCCTGCACCAGCGCCTGCACCATCTCCATGTGCCCCTGCGTGACGGCCAGGTGCAGCGGCGTCTGGTTGCGGTTGTTTTTCAGGTTGACGTCGCAGCGGCCCTGCGGACACAAGGCAACACGGGGCGGCTTCACTTATCAATAGACAATTCAGTGATTTCACGGGGCCACTCCACCTAGCAACAACCAATCCAGTGATGTCACAAGACGGCCACTTCCCAAGCAACAGCCAATTCAGTGACGTCACAGAGGGCCAGTCTACCTAGCACAGGGGTCGGGAACCTTTGGCCCTCCAGCTGTGGTGGACTTCAACTCCCACAATTCCTTGAGGCTCGGCATTCGCCCCAAAGGCTTACCTTGGCCCAACGAGGTTTGTTTGGCTCTTTTTCATGGAGGACGGGCAGCAAAGGGGGAGAGACGAGCGTAACGTAGCTGTGCAGATGGCGAGGAAGGATGCGGAGCCCACAGACTGGCCTCGGAGGGAGAGAGCGGGCGGAAACCCCTGCGGGCAACGCGCTTCCTCGCCGCTTCGGCCCTTAGCACCCGCCCCGCATGGACCCCCTCCCTAGCAACGACGCCGGCTGAGTGACGTCGTGCAGAGCTTGTCGGGGAAAAGGGAAGGCGAAGGCTGGAGGGAAAGGGCTCTGCGCTGTTTAAGCGGCGAGGAGGCGCGTTGCCCGCAGGGGTTTCCGCCCGCTCTCTCCCTCCGAGGCCAGTCTGTGGGCTCCGCATCCTTCCTCGCCATCTGCACAGCTACGTTACGCTCGTCTCTCCCCCTTTGCTGCCCGTCCTCCATGAAAAAGAGCCAAACAAACCTCGTTGGGCCAAGGTAAGCCTTTGGGGCGAATGCCGAGCCTCAAGGAATTGTGGGAGTTGAAGTCCACCACAGCTGGAGGGCCAAAGGTTCCCGACCCCTGACCTAGCAACAGCCAATCTAGTGATGTGTGAGGGCCACTTCACCTACCAACAACCAATCCGGTGACCTCACAGAAGGCCACTTCACTAGCAACAGCCAATCCAGTGGCATCACAGAGGGCCACTGAATCAAGCAACAGCCAATCCAGTTACGTCACAGAAGGCCACTCCACCTAGCAATACCCAATCCAGTGATGTCATGAGGGCCACTCTACCTAACAACAGCCAATCTAGTGACATCACAAAGGGCCACTTCACCTAGCAACAGTCTTTGTGATACAAACCAATAAGCATACATACATACTTCTTGCATATCACTCCATATATATATATATACTGGATTGCAATCATCTATAAATATGTATAAGCACATCCGTGGGAGAATCCTTCTATGCTCTTTGTGGACGAACCACTGAAAAAGGTGTTTTGGTTTTGACGACGATGGCCTTGAACCCTGAACCCTAAGCTTCCGGACAAAGAGAAGGAGGAACAGATCCTCAGGTGTGTTTATTTACCTCTTTGAGGAGGGCCTCGGCCACCTCTTTGTGGTTGTTCAGGGCCGCCAGGTGGAGCGCGGTGAACCCGTCGTCCTTCTTGGTGTCAACCAACTGCCGGGCTCGGGCCAGGATCTTCTTGACGGCTCTGGGAGAACAAAGAGAAGGGAGACATGAGACATGAACGCTCTCCGAATAGCGAGCGATGACGAGATCCAGGACGACAGCCCATAAAATTGGGGAGATACTCATTTCCAAGGCTTGGAGGGGAGGCAAAAACCTTTGGCTTCTGCACTGAGGAACTAGACCTCTCAATCTTTGGCTCTCCGGGTGTTTTGGTTTCATTTCCCAACTTCTCTGACCACCAGGATGGGTCATTCGGGGCTCCTCTAGGAGGGAAAGAGCCAAAGTTTGAGAGCCATCGATGTAAAAACCGAGCAAGAGGGAAAGATGCGTCTGTGAGAAAAATTAAAAATTATCTAGGGCCAAAGCTAGTGTCCTCCTGAGGAGAGCGAGCAGGCCGAAGCCTGTTAGAGTTAGTTGGCCAAAGTTAGTGTCATCCTGAGGTGTGTGAGGTAAACCTCTGTGTGAGAGAAGCCGTTATTATGATTATAATAATAATAAGATATAAGATATGATATTATTATATGATATGATATCATATAATAATATAATATCAAACATGGCCAGACAGTCCAGAAAACTCACAGCAACCTAACTTCATGTGTGTTGATATAATAATAATAATATTAATAATAATAAAAATAATAATTCCGGAAAACTCACAGCAACCCAATTCATGTGTGTTGATATAATAATATTAATAATAATAATAATAATAATAATAATAATAATAATAATATGATATGAGGATTTGAAGATCGACCTGCAAAGACTCTGGCACAAGCCAGTCAAGGTGGTCCCAGTAGTGATCGGCACACTGGGTGCAGTGCCTCAGGACCTTGGCCTGCACTTAAACACATTCGGCCAGCTGCAGAGGGCCACCTTACTGGGATCTGCACGCATTATTCGCCGAAACATCACACAGTCCTAGATGCTTGGGAAGTGTCCGACATGTGATCCAATACAACAGCCAGCAGAGTGAACTTGTTTGCTGTGGACCCATCTCGTTGTGTTTCAAATAATAATAATAATAGTAATAATAATAATAATGATGATGATGATGATGATGATGATGGAAGTGTTCGACTTGTGATTTTGTGATACAAAATCCAGTATATTCCATTTGCTGTGACATACTGTGGTTTAGTGTCATTAAAATAATAATAATAATAATAATAATAATAATAATAATAATAATAATAATAATAAACCTCCTTAAGGAAGATGAGAAAAGACCATGCTGGTAGMAAAGGCAGCTGGAATTAATCTTTCCCTCTTTTTGTAATAATAATAATAATAATAATAATAATAATAATAATAATAACGCTCTGTATTTACAGCTTGTTCCCCTTCAGGGCCGCATGGTGCAGCAGGTTGAACCCCTGCCGGTTCTGGATGGTGAAATCAATGCTGGGGACTTCGGTGAGGGCTTCGATGATGCATTTGAAGTCGGCCGTGATGGCGTAATGGAGCGGGGTGTCTCCATAGGAATCCTGCGGGAAGGGAGGAAGGCTAAATATTACATAATCCAAAGTTTAGTACATTTGAAGACATGCATTAGGAAATATCTCTTGGGAGAAGGCATGGTGGAGTTGGGTGGGGGGTAAATGCCATTTTGGAGGACCCACCGGCAGGTTAACGTTGCACTGGTTTTCGCACAAGGCTTGCACCACCTCCGTGAAGCCTTTGTTGACCGCAATGTAGAGGGCCGTGCACTTGCCGTTGTTTAGGAGATCGGCGTTGGCGCCTTTGCTGACCAGCACGCGGGCAATCTCCGCTTGGTTTCTGTGCAGGAAGACATTGGGAAAAGAAAGATCAGAAACTCTGTCATGTCTGTTACGTAGAAGCCGTAATCTTCTTAAAGGAAAGGAAATGTATAGTAATAATTATTATTATTTATAATAATAATAATAATAATATTATAATAATAGTAATTATTATTATTATTTATAATAATAATATAATAATATAATATAATATAATAATAGTTATTATTATTATTTATAATAATATAATATATTATTATTATTATTATTATTTGGTGCCGTGCCAAAAGATAATTATTATTATAAATAATAATAATAATAATTACTACTATTATTATATTATATTATTATAAATAATTATTATTATTACAATACATTCCCTTTTCTTTAAGATTACGGCTTCTATAATAATAATATAATAATATAATAATAATAGAAATAGTAATAATAATCATCATCATCATTTGGCTCCGTGCCAAAAGATAATTATTATTATAAAAATTATTATTATTATTATTACTACTATTATTATATTATTATATTATATTATTATAAATAATAATAATTATTACATTTCCTTTCCTTCAAGAAGATTACGGCTTCTATAATAATAATAATATATAATAATATAATAATAGTAATAATAATAATAATTATTATTATTTGGTGCCATGCCAAGAGATAATAATAATTATAAATAATAATAATAATAATAATTACTATTATTATATTATATTATATTATATTATATTAATGGAAATAATAATAATTATTACTATACATTTCCTTTCCTTTAAGAAGACTACGGCTTTCTAGAATAATAATATAATATAATAATAATAGTAATAATAATTATTATTAATATTATTTGGTGCCGTGCCAAAAGATAATTATTATTATAAAATTATTATTGTTATTATTATTACTACTACTATTATTATATTATATTATTATAAATTATTATTATTATTATTATTACTATACATTTCCTTTCCTTTAAGAAGATTACGGCTTCTATAATAATAATAATAATAATAATAATAATAATAATAATAATAATATATTATAATAATATAATATAATAATAGTAATAATACAGCATATAGATCTCGTTTGCTGTGACATACTGTGCTTTTGTGTCAATAATAATAATAATAATAATAATAAACTTTATTTATACCCCGCCACCATCTCCCCCAACGGGTACTCGGGCTGGCTTACATGAGTCCAAGCCCAAACAACAAATTACAATAAAATGAAAACCAAAGACACAAACAACAACACAGTAAAATACATAAAACAGATGAATACAATAATGTAAAAATACAATATCCACAGCCACAACGAGTGGGCCACATGTACAAGATAAAATGCGAAAACAATTCAATATAGTACAACCCCTTTGGCAATAAAAATAATATATGCAAATAATATAATTGAAACTACATATGTATAGATGTGGCTAGGGTGTCCACTTAACACCAGCACTTTTCAACCTGGGGGTCGGGACCCCGGGAGGTGGGGGTCGTGCCAGGTTTCAGAGAGGTCACCATACACTATCAGAAAACATATATTTCTGATGGTCTTAGCAGGGGTCCTCAAACTATGGCCCACGGGCCGGATACGGCCCTCCAAGGTCATTCACCCGGCCCTCGCTCAGGGTCAACCTAAGTCTGAAACGACTTGAAAGCACACAACAACAACAACAACAACAACAACAACGATCCTATCTCATCAGCCAAAAGCAGGCCCACACTTCCCATTGAAATACTAATAAGTTTATATTTGTTCAATTTGATCTTCATTTTAATTATTGTATTGTTTTTAAGTGTTTTTTTTGCACTACAAATAAGATATGTTCATAATAATAGTAAGTAAAAGGTTGGGAGCCACCTTTGAAGGGCCACCTACCCGAATGCTGCGTAATGAAGGGCTGCGTCCCCTTCTTCATCCCGTAGGTTGACGTTGGCGTGAGCCTGCAGGAGGATCTTCACCACTTCCACCTGGCCCAGGTACGAAGCCACCTGCAAGGCGGTCCTGCCCTGGTTTTTGGTATCCACCTGTTGTGAAATTTTGGCACAGTTGTCGAACATTGCTATCATTTGCGATACCATCACCACCATCGTGCTATTTCGTGGACAGTATCATTTCCGAGATTTCCTAGATGGCTTCCCCATAATACAACTGTTAGGTCATTTCCCTAAAAAAACGCCCTCCTGATAAATGCATAGCAGAGTAACTTAGCAGCAGCAGAGTGACCCAGCAAATCAAGTTCTTTACACTTCCTTCTTTGCTTCCACGCTGGACTTCTTTCTTATGCAGATAAACAGCTTTGCTCTCACAGAGACTCTTCTCACACCGAATTTACACACAGTAGCTATACACACAGCTTTACACACAAGGCCTTCAACAGGGGACTTCTTTCGCCAAAGCTTTTCACACCAGGACTTCCCACACTCTGAGGCCTTCTCACACAGAGGCTTCTCTCACAAACTAAGGCTTACCTCACATTGTGAGGCCTTCTCTCACAGACTAAGGCCTATCTCACACTGCGATGCATTCTCTCACAGACTAACGCCTATCTCAGTGAAGCCTTCTCTCACAGACTAAGGCCTACCTCACACTGCGAGAACTTCTCTCACAGACTAAGACCTACCTCACACTGCAAGGCCTTCTCCCACAGACTAAGGCCTATCTCACACTGTGAAGCCTTTCCTTCACAGACTAAGGCCTACCTCACACTGCGAGGCCTTCTCCCACAGACTAAGGCCTATCTCACACTGTGAAGCCTTTCCCTCACAGACTAAGACCTACCTCACACTGCGAGGCCTTCTCCCACAGACTAAGACCTACCTCACACTGCGAGGCCTTCTCCCACAGACTAAGGCCTACCTCACACTGTAAGGCCTTCTCTCACAGACTAAGACCCACCTCACACTGTGAGGCTTTCTCTCACAGACTAAGGCCTACCTCACACTGCAAGACCTTCTCTCACAGACTAAGGCCTACCTCACACAGTGAAGCCTTCTCTCACAGACTATGGCCTAACTCGCACTGTGAGGCCTTTCTCACAGACTAAGGCCTACCTCACACTGTGAGGCCTTCTCTCACAGACTGAGACTTTCTCCCACTGAGGTTTACCTCAGACTGACAGCTACTAAGCTACAGGCACACCTGCTTATATAGAACTGCAGCTTTTGCTGAGTCATTGCATTCATTTAACCCTTTCAGTGCTTGACCCACATTTTTGTAATTAAAAATAGCTAATTAATTTTTAATATTTCTGGCATTTCCTGGGTTTTGTATAGGTTTTCCTTTATTCTAAAAATGCTGTGTTTTATGTGCTTGGCGCTGTGCTGTATGTATGTATTTTAATATATTTGTGTACTGTTTTTATCATTTGATTTATGCTTTTTCAATTTTTCAATTTTTCAATTTTCGTGTTTTTCTATGTTTTTGAATTATAATATTGCCGTTCTGTTCATTAATGCTGAGACCGTGCGTCATTCACAATCCCCACAAATAAATACAATATGTGGTTTTTGGCTCTGAATATGTTTTCAATCAGTTCTAAGGATTTTAACTGTTTGTTAGTAGTACAGTTGGTTAAAATCTTGCCAACCAGATGGTTGGCAGTTCAAAGCCGTAGGTCAGGGTGAGCTCACGCCGTCAGCCCTAGCTTATATGCCATGTATGTATTCAGTAATACATATAGAGCAGAATATAAATAAAGTATATTATTATTGTTGTCGTATTGTTTTTAATACCATTAATATTTAATTCTATGTTAATGTTTGTATATGTTTAGATTTTAAATTATATTGCATTGGTTTACTTGTAAGGTGATTTGAGTCTCTTTCGTAGAGAGAGAAATCAGGATCTAAATAAACATGTTCATAATAATAGTAAGAAGTAAAAAGGCAACACTATACGACAATATAAAATGACAACAATATGAAACAATATAAAGGTAGTACACAAAACCATGGACACGCAGGTCCTGCCTATTAAAATTCAATTGCATTAAAATACAATATAACATCTAAGATAAAATTATTGAGCAAAATACATTTTATTATTGTATTGCTTTTATGGTTAGTTGCTTTGGGTTTCTTAGAGAGATTAAGCGGGAGCAGAAGAATTAATAATAATAATAATAATAATATAAAATTATATTATAATAATTGCATTAGATACAATATAATATCAAAGATAAAATTGTTTTGCCTGTGCCTGGTAAACTATATTATTGTATTGCTCTTATAGTTAGCAGCTTTGGGTCTTTTTTTGGAGTGATTAAGTGGGAGCAGAATGACCTTGGAGGTGTCTACGGACAACGCTGGCTCTTCGACTCAGAGATGGAGATGAGCACCAACCCCCAGAGTCGGACACGACTGGACTTAACATCAGAGGAAAACCTTTACCATTACCTTATTATAATAATATTATAATATTTTTTAATAATAATAACATTAGTAATATATATCCTCCACGATCAAGTCAGTCATTTGTGAACACTCTCTCTGTTCTATTACACAGCCACCTAATTGTAATATGTTCACAACCCTATTTATAAGAATAATGAAGATATATTACATCGGGAGCACTTCCCTGATCTACCAAATTTCTAACTCTACCAAAAAAAGAGGTAAGATTAGTTTGGCATGGCTTATTTTGGAGGAACCCATCCCGACTCTTAGAAAACAGAGTACTTTCTTCCTCTCTAAGTGTGTTTCACAATCTGTTTCTGAAAACAACGTCATTGAATGGCCAGTGTCCTCTTTGCAATGAAAATGGAATATAAATAACGTTGTTACAACAACTTGCCTTTTCGGGGTACTTCTGAACCAGATCGTGCACTTTGGAGGCGTTTCCATGGGCGGCCTCTATGACCAGCCGGCCCGGGTTGTCGGACTCCGTTTTCTGAGAGAGCAGTCTTCCCAACACAGAGAGCAACGTACCTGTTTGGGGCGGAAAACAAAGAAAACAAACTCAATTCCTTCAGCGTTATGACACGACATTTAGACCACAGGCTAGTTCAGACAGGCACAGTCCACCACGAAGCAGGTAGACCCCAATGAATCCCTGATTAGATGTTTGTCTGGCAGAAGGAGGTTGGACTGGATGGCCCTTGGGGTTCCCCTCCACCTCTAGGCATACAATACTGATCACAGCTGGCTTTTCTGCTCCTCACTTTTGGACTCCTTGGCATCTTCGGTCGTCATGAGGTTGGCGTCCTCCTCTCTCTGGTAGGCGGTCAGGCAGGCAGGGTTGAAGGTCCAGGACTGGCCAGCGAAGGACACCCGCAAGTCCCCGTCTCCAAAGACCTTGATCACCTTGCCAATATGCCCCAGGGTCTACGGTTGGAAAAGGTCATTAATGTCATACAGACGTCATGCATGACTCACGTTATCATCAAGGGCCACATCAGCCTTATGGTTGCCTTCAAAGTGTCAGTAAGGCCATGCATGGAGAATCCGTTGATACAAGGGGCCAAATATACTTTTTTTATTTTGAACCTATTGGTTGATGCTCTTTATTTTTTACCTGATTTGGGTCCCCAGATATTACTGAACAACAACTCCCATCACTTCTGCAAGATTGGGGATAATGGGAGTGGCAAACCCGGAAGTTTCTCAACCTAGGGGTTGGGACTCCTGGGGGGTTGCAAAGGGGGTTGTCAGAGGGGTCACAAAAGACCATCAGAAAACACATATTTCTGATGGTTCTTAGGCAGGGGCGGCTCACCCCTTACGCAAAGTAAGCCTTTGCAGTATAGTTGATTTTGCCCAGAGGCGCTCTTGAGGAAAAATAGACCTTGACACATGTGAGTTGTAGTTACTGGGATGTATAGTTCACCTACACCAAACACGAAACAGGCAACAAGTCCAGACAGTACCCAATGCACAAACGTTCACCAACACCTTGCCTTCTGCAAGGAACCCTCGTCCCAGACCACTTTTATCTACACATCATCATCTGAAGATGAACTGACCACCGCCCCATCATTATCCCTCGCAGCTGCTCTCAACTCTGCACATGAATTCCTACTTCCATCCCTCCATCTTCTCACACAGAACCGGAAAGAAAGAAGAAAGAGAGTAGGAGCATGGGAAAGAAGGGAGAAAGGAAGGAAGGAAGAAGAAAGGAGCGGAAGGGAAGGTGTAGGAACGAAGGAAAGGAAGGAAGAAAGGACAGAAGAAAAGGGAAGGGAGGAAAGAAAGCAAATGAAGAAGAGAAAGGGAGGGAAGGAAAGAAGGAAAGAAAGAAAAGGAAAGAAAGAAAGAAAGAAAGAAAGAAGAAAAGGAAGAGGAAAAAGAGCAAAGGAAGGAAGGAAGAGAAAGAGAGGGAAGAAAGGAGACAAAGAGGAAGGAAAAGAAAAAGGGAGGAGGAAGGAAAGAGGTACAGAAGGAAGGAGGAGAGAAGGAAAGAAAAAAGGGAAGGGAGGAAAGACGCAGCAAAGGAAAAAGAGAAAGAAGGAGAGAAAGACGCAGGGAAGGAAATAAATAAGGAGAAGGAAAGATGAAAACAAACAGCTAAGGAGAGGAGTAAACAGGTAGAGAAGGAAGAAAGGAAAGAAGAAAACGGAATGAAGGAAGGAGTGAAAGAAGCAGAGAAGAGGGAGAAAAGGCTGGCCACAGCAACGCGTGGCGGGTAAAGCTAGCATCAGATAATTACATTACGATTCATAACAATAGCAAAACGACAGTTATGAAGCAGCAATGAAAATAATGTTATGGTTGGGGGTCACCAACTAGCATGACCATGGAAGAACACACCAAAAAACCGCACAATATTTTACCATCGCTTACCGGAGCCATCTCATCCGTCCATTCTCCATGACCAGCCTGCAGCTGTTTGATGGTTTCGATATCGTCGATCACTCGGACAACGTCATCGACCCAAAATGCGTTGAGCTGTAAGAAAAAGAAAACCAGAAGTCTGATCGACAAGGGTTGAATGAGAAGTAATGCCTCCATCTTCGTTACTTGGGTTTGGATGGGAATATCAAATGCAGAAAAAATCCTTAGCATGTGCTCTTTAACTACCACTATTCACTTTCCCAAATAACCACCAGACAATTGGATACATTTCTGCCAACAACGAACAAATTTTCTGAAGCCGTCACGGAAGAAGTCGACACTCTGTTTCTGCAACTAGCGTCTGATAGTTCTCTCGTCCTGGGTACCCATCGTGCAAAGATCTTCCGATAGCCAAGCAAAGCAATAATGTGACCCACACATAATCACCAGACAATTGGATACATTTCTGCCAACGATGAACACATTTTCTGGGCGGTGATGGCACGATCATCAGCATAGATGAAACTCTCTGTCCCTTCTGGCAGTGGCTGGTCATTTGTGTACATGTTAAACATGGATGGTGCAACCTGTTTTTCCCTGTAATAGGCAGTAAGAGCACCTAAAGCTTTGGAGAGCTTCCGTTCAACCATTTCGAAGCTCTCTGCTTGGGTGGTGATGACATGATCATCAGCATAGATGAAACTCTCTGTCCCTTCTGGCAGTGGCTAGTCATTTGTGTCAATATTAAACATTGATGGAGCAAGCACTCTCTCTTGAGTCGGGCTGTTCTTCTGTTTCCGCCATGTGCTTCTCTGGCCCTGGAACTCAACAAAAAAGCTCCTGTTTTGTAGCAGATTTCCTGTGAAGTGGATGAGGTCATCGACTTATCAGTTCTGGCTTTGATGGCATTATTATTATTATTATTATTATTATTATTATTATTATTATTATTATTTTAAGCCCTACACCGCTGGAGAAATTACAGTTTAGCCGATATCACGTCACCTGACATCCGCCAGGAAGTAGCAGCCAATAATGAAAATCTCCAGCCCATCCCCTGTTTGGATATCAACCAGAATGCCAACATCTTAAATCAAGAAATAGCTTCCTAAGCTCTACAGAGATACTCGCAGGAACACCTCAGCAAGCGAGAGTCCAAAAGTGGCAGACTAAAACTCAGAACCTCAATCACTGGCTGATACTGAATGAGAAACTTCCTCCTGGGCACACAGAAGGCTGGGCGACTTGGAAGATGCTGAACATGAGATGCAGAGCCAACCTTGCCACAAAGTGGAGTCCACGACATGCGAGTGTGGAGAAGAGCAAACCACAGTCCACCTACTACAATGCAGCCTGAGCCCTGCCACATGCACAAAGGAGGACCTTGGATATATCTTGTAACTGTAGTCAAGAGCTCAGTCCCAACACCAAACATCCTATGTAGTTTTACAAGCAATAAAATTATACAAAGGATTCCCGCAAATTCCTGAGATCCATCACTAGGTGGTTATCATGGCACTCACCTTGGTCAGCGCCCCGGGATGAAACGTCCACCGCGTATCGCTGTTGAACTGGACCCGCACGTCTCCTCGATCCGTGATCCGGTGCACGGTCCCGGTTTGGCCGATGAACTTTGGGGAGTCAAGGCCAGGAGACAGAATGAAACCCAAAATCCAAAGCAAGTGCCCTTTCAAATATCACAGTCACAAGACGTTGCTCCTTCCCACAGATTCATCGCCATGTTTAAGAAGTAACTTGTCATCGTTGTGAGTTTTCCAGGCTGCATGGCCATGTTCCAGAAGCATTCTCTCCTGACATTTTGCCTGCGTCTATGACAGGCATCCTCAGAGGCAGGCATCCTCAGACCTCACATCCTCTGAGGATGCCTGCCATAGATGCAGGCAGAACGTCAGAAGAGAATGCTACTGGAACATGGTCAGCCAGCCCGGAAAACGCACAACAACCCAGTGATTCCGGCCATGAAAGCCTTCAATAATAGATTAACTTGTCATCACTTGCTCTATGGCTTCGAGGCTATATATTTCATGTTGGTGTGCAACAGTCCCAGTTATTATTATTATTATTATTATTATTATTATTATTATTTACTAGCTGTCCCCTGCCACGCGTTGATGTGGCCCACATGGGGGTTCTGTGTGGGAGTTTTGGCCCAATTGTTTCGTTGGCGCGGTTCAGAATGCTCTGTGATTGTAGGTGAACTATAAATCCCAGCAACTACCACTCCCAAATGCCAAGATTCTATTTTTCCCCTAACTCTACCAGTGTTCACATTTGGGCATATTGAGTATTCGTGCAGAGTTTGGTCCAGATCCATCATTGTTTGAGTCCGCAGTGATCTCTGGATGTAGGTGAACTACAACTCCAAAACCAAAGGACACTGCCCACCAAACCCTTCCAGTATTTTCTGTTGGTCATGGGAGAACTGTGTGCCAAGTTTGGTTCAATTCCATCGTTGGTCGGGTTCAGAATGCTCTTTGATTGTAGGTGAACTATAAATCCCAGCAACTACCACTCCCAAATGCCAAGATTCTATTTTTCCCCTAACTCTACCAGTGTTCACATTTGGGCATATTGAGTATTCGTGCAGAGTTTGGTCCAGATCCATCATTGTTTGAGTCCGCAGTGATCTCTGGATGTAGGTGAACTACAACTCCAAAACCAAAGGACACTGCCCACCAAACCCTTCCAGTATTTTCTGTTGGTCATGGGAGAACTGTGTGCCAAGTATGGTTCAATTCCATCGTTGATGGGGTTCAGAATGCTCTTTGACTAGGTTCTTGTGGGTTTTTTCGGGCTATAGAGCCATGTTCTAGAGGCATTTCTCCTGACGTTTCGCCTGCATCTATGGCAAGCATCCTCAGAGGTAGTGAGGTCTGTTGGAATTAGGACAATGGGTTTATATATCTGTGGAATGGCTGGGGTGGGGCAAGGCGCTCTTCTCTGCTGGAGCTAGGTGTGAATGTTTCAACTGATCACCTTCATTAGCATTTGAAGGCCTGCCTGAGTCTGGGAAAATCTCTTGCTGGGAGGTGTTAATCTGTGCCTACATAGGGACCACCAAACGCATCAATGCCCAGACACGCATCAAGGAACATGAAAGGCACTGCAGACTCCTTCAACCAGAGAAGTCAGCCATAGCAGAGCACCTGATGAACCAGCCTGGACACAGCATATTATTTGAGAACACAGAAATGCTGGACCACACCAACAACCACCATGTCAGACTACACAGAGAAGCCATTGAAATCCACAAGCATGTGGACAATTTCAACAGAAAGGAAGAGACCATGAAAATGAACAAAATCTGGCTACCAGTATTAAAAAACTCTAAAATTACAACAGCAAAACAACAGAGAGGAAACAACCAGGCACAGATTAACACCTCCCAGCAACAGATTTTCCCAGGCTCAGGCAGGCCTTCAAATGCTAATGAAGGTGATCAGCTAAACATTCACACCTAACTGCAGCAGGGAAGAGCTCCTTGCCCCACCCCAGCCATTCCACAGATATATAAACCCATTGTCCTATTCCAACAGACCTCACTACCTCTGAGGATGCTTGCCATAGATGCAGGCGAAACGTCAGGAGAAATGCCTCTAGAACATGGCCATACAGCCCGAAAAAACCCACAAGAACCTAGTGATTCCAGCCATGAAAGCCTTCGACAATACATTGCTCTTTGACTGTATGTGAACTATAAATCCCAGCAACTATAATTCCCAAATGCCAAAATCCAAAAATTTTGAGTGAAGGACATACATTGGGTTGTTAGGTCTATGCTGTCCAAATTTGGTGTCAATGGGCCCACTGGTTTTTGAGTTCTGTTAATACCACAAACAAATATTACATTTTTATTTATATAAATTGTTGTTGTCGATGTTGTTGATGTTGTTACCCAACGTCAATGTCAAAACTTATCAACATAATATACATACAATAATATATATTGTATACAAATAAGATGGTAAAGGGATCATGAAAATAAATTTGAAGCCCAAAAGAAACTTTTCTGGTTCCTACGTAAGAGATTTGATTCGGATTTATTCTTCCCAAAAGACTAAAAAAACACGAAACCGGTGAGGCTCGATCTCGTGCGTCTCGCGGTTTCTCAGAACGCCTCCATTAAACTGGACCAAAGCGTGGACGTGTCTCCTACCTCGGCCATTTTGGGATTCCAGCCCCCGTGTCCTTCCTGCATCTCTCGCAAAATGTCGATGTCGAGGAGGCACTTCACTTTGTCTCCGTGCTGAAACGGGTGTCTCTCCGTGCTCTCCTTTTTCTGCAACTCGGCCGGTTTGCCTACAAAGTGGGCGGAAGAAGGACAGACAGCGTCAAACTCAAGGCCCGCGGGCCGAATCTAGCCCTACGTGTCATCTTATGTGGCCCTCCAGATGCCGAACGCCAACTCTTGTGTTTCTCATCATTAGAGCTGATGGGAGTTGGGAGACAAGATGCTCCTTGGCAGAATGGGGTTGGACTGGATGGCCCATGAGGTCTCTTCCAACTCTTTGATTCTATGATTCTATGATTCTATGGATTCAATGGTTCTTTGAGGCAACCACAAGATTGACCTGGCCCTAAGATAGGAGTTAAGCACCACCACCTTCATTGATGTCTGTGTCAACGGGGGTAAGGCTTGCTCTAACTGAGCTGACATTTACGACTAGAACCACCAAATCATAGGATTAGAAGAGACCCAAAGCCATCCATTTCGACCTCCATAGATAGATAGATAGATAGATAGATAGATAGATAGATAGAGAGAGAGATGGTAGAGAAATAGGCAGATGACAGTCGAAGAATAGTATCCTAGAGTTAGAAGAGACCTCAAGGGCCATCCAGTCCAACCCTGATATAGTTGAACCATAGCAACCTAGAGTTGGTAGCGACCACAAAGGCCATCCAGTCCAACCCAGATAGATAGTTGAATCATAGAATCCTAGAGTTGGAAGAGACCTCAAGGGCCATCCAGTCCAACCCTGATATAGTTGAACCATAGCAACCTAGAGTTGGTAGCGACCACAAAGGCCATCCAGTCCAACCCAGATAGATAGTTGAATCATAGAATCCTAGAGTTGGAAGAGACCTCAAGGGCCATCCAGTCCAACCCTGATATAGTTGAACCATAGCAACCTAGAGTTGGTAGCGACCACAAAGGCCATCCAGTCCAACCCAGATAGATAGTTGAATCATAGAATCCTAGAGTTGGAAGAGACCTCAAGGGCCATCCAGTCCAACCCAGATAGATAGTTGAACCATAGAATCCTAGAGTTGGAAGACACCTCAAGGGCCATCCAGTCCAACCCTGATAGATAGTTGAACCATAGAATCCTAGAGTTGGAAGAGACCTCAAGGGCCATCCAGTCCAACCTCCTTACATAAACAGATAGATAGGTCATAGAATCCTAGAGTTGGAAGAGACCTCAAGGGCCATCCAGTCCAACCCCCTTAGACAGGCAGATAAATAGATTATAGAATCCTAGAGTTAGATGATACCACAAGAGCCATCCAGTCCAGCCCTTATAGATAGAGAGATAATTGAATCATAGAATCCTGGAGTTGGGAGAGACCACAAGGGCCATCTAGTTCAACCCCCTTAGATAGATAGATAGATAGATAGATAGATAGAGACAGACAGACAGACAGACAGACAGATCATACAATCCTAGTTAGAAGAGACCTCAAGGGCCATCCAGTCCAACCCAGATTGATAGATAATTGAATCACAGAATCCTACAGTTGGGAGAGACCCCAAGGACCATCCAGTCCAACCCCCTTAGATAGATAGATGATAGATAGATAGATAGATAGATAGATAGATAGAATCCCAGAATTGGAAGATACCCCAAGGGCCATCCAGTCCAACCTTCTCAGATAGATAGATAGATAGATAGATAGATAGATAGATAGATAGATCATAGAATCCTAGTTAGAAGAGACCTCAAGGGCCATCCAGTCCAACCCAGATAGATAGATAGATAATTGAATCACAGAATCCTACAGTTGGGAGAGACCCCAAGGACCATCCAGTCCATACACCTTAGGTAGACAGACAGATAGATTGATCATAGAATCCTAGAGTTGGAAGAGACCTCAAGGGCCATCCAGTCCAACCCTGATATAGTTGAACCATAGCAACCTAGAGTTGGTAGCGACCACAAAGGCCATCCAGTCCAACCCAGATAGATAGTTGAATCATAGAATCCTAGAGTTGGAAGAGACCTCAAGGGCCATCCAGTCCAACCCTGATAGATAGTTGAACCATAGAATCCTAGAGTTGGTAATGACCACAAAGGCCATCCAGTCCAACCTCCTTACATAAACAGATAGATAGGTCATAGAATCCTAGAGTTGGAAGAGACCTCAAGGGCCATCCAGTCCAACCCCCTTAGATAGGCAGATAAATAGATAATAGAATCCTAGAGTTAGATGATACCACAAGAGCCATCCAGTCCAAACCTCTTAGATAGACAGATAGATTATAGAATCCTAGAGTTGGCAGAGACCACAAGAGTCATCCAGTCCAGCCCTCATAGATAGAGAGATAGATATATAGATAGATAGATAATCGAATCATAGAATCCTGAAGTTGGAAGAGACCATTCAGTCCAACCCCCTTAGATAGATAGATGATAGATAGATAGATAGATAGATAGATAGATAGATAGATAGATAGATAGATAGATAGATAATAAAATCTTAGAAGAGACCTCAAGGGCCATCCAGTCCAACCCAGATAGATAGATAGATAGATAGATAGATAGATAGATAGATAGATAGATAGATAATTGAATCACAGAATCCTACAGTTGGGAGAGACCCCAAGGACCATCCAGTCCAACCCCTTTAGATAGATAGATAGATAGATAGATAGATAGATAGATAGATAGATAGATAATAGAATCCTACTTAGAAGAGACCTCAAGGGCCATCCAGTCCAGCCCCAATAGATGGTCGAATCATAGAATCAAAGAGTTGGGAGAGATCACAAAGGCCATCCAGTCCAATCCTTTTAGATAGACAGATAGATAGATAGTTGAACCATAGAATCCTAAAGTTGGACGAGACCTCAAGGGCCATCCAGTCCAACCCTGATAGATAGTGAAACCCTAGTAACCTTGAGATGGGAGAGATCCAATCCAAACCCCTTAGACAAATTGACTGACTGGTTGATTGATAATTGAATCATACAATGCTAGAGTTTGAAGAAAGCCCAAGGGCCATCCAGTCCAACACCATAGATAAAAGAGAGAGAGAGAGAGAGAGAGAGAGTAGGATCATAGAATCTTAGAGCTGGAAGAAATCCCAAGGGTCATCCAGTCCAACCCAGATAGATAGATAGATAGATAGATAGATAGATAGTCGAATCGTAGAATCCTAGAGTTGGGAGAGACCAGTAGGGCCATCCAGTCCAACCCCCTTAGATAGATAGATAGATAGATAGATAGATAGATAGATAGATAGGTAGATAGGTAGATAGGTAGATAGATAGTTGAACAACAGAATCTGAGAGTTGGAAGAGACCACTAGGGCCCAAGGGTCATCCAGTCATCCAGTTAAAGGACATCAACACAAGGCTCCTTATGTTTGCCAACACCAATTAAGGAGAGTCAACATCTGTTGGGAACTGAGATGGAACCAACATGTTTCGGGCTGGAAAAACATCCAGTCCAACCCCGATAGCTAGATAGCTAGATAGATAGATTAAGATAGATAAGATAGTCAAATCATAGAATCCTAGAGCTGGAAGAAATCCCAAGGGTCATCCAGTTAAAGGACATCAACACAAGGCTCCTTACGTTTGCCAAGACTAATTAAGGAGAGTCAACATCTGTCGGGAACTGAGATGGAATCAACCTGTTTCAGGCTGGAAAAACATCTATCATTTCTTTTACAATTTTGGAACAACATCAGCGGAATATTCCTATAAAAGACTCAATCTAATAATTCTCAAGTGTGACAGACAGCTGTGCTGCTCACCCACCATGCTCCATGGAAAGAGACGGTGTACCTTGGGAGTGTCAGATCTGCTAGATAGGTAGGTAGATAGTCGAACAACAGAATCCCAGAGTTGGGAGAGACCAGAAGAGCCATTCAGTCCAACCCCCTTCTGCTGCCATCAAAGCCCTCCCGACAGATGACCACCCTGCCTCTACTCAAAAGCCTCCACTATTCTCTGAGGCAGCATATTCCACTATTAAATAGCTCTTGCCCCCAGGAAGTTCTACCTAATGTTTTCACCTCAGTACTACCTATACATAGGTCCTGAGTTATGTACCTAATCTTGGGAGGTGCTCCTTGTAGTAAAACCCTCCGGACGCTTCTGCGATGCACTTCAGGTCCACTTTCCCCTTGTGCCCCACCCGGTACACGTTGGTGGTGCCATCGGCCCACGTCACGCTGGCCACGCTCCGCCCGGTCTCAACGTCCCAGCCTCGGATGTCCACGACGCGCCCCGTTTTGCCTTCGCCGCCTGTTTTGGGGGCAAAAAAGATGACAAAGGAGACTCAAAATCACAAAATAAATGCTTTTTTGAGATGCAAAAGTGGCTCACAGAATCTGTTTTTAGTTGCAGTAAAATCCAAATTGTGGGGACAAAGGAAGGACGGAAGGAAAGGAGGAAAAACCGATGTCTGGAGAGAGGCACGTGGAGCTCAGAAGGTCAAAAGTGGAACCTGTCTGACACAGTGACTGCGTGTAATCCATCACGTCTTTGGCCGTCCCAATAATGCCACACGCAAGTGCATGCTTTTAAGGTCCAAGCTTCTTAACACAGCAGGGGAACGTTAATCTCAGGTTCCGCAGGGAACCCTTCTCTATTTGATTTGTGAATCAGTCTTGAAGCTGAGTGATTGTGAGTTTTGTTGGAAACAAAGGATTCCCCCAGGCAGGAAGCACCCAGACCTTTAAGCTGCAAGGCCATTCAGTGCTAATCAAGGTGGCCAGTTGCAACATTCACATCGACCTCCAACAGACAAGAGTTCTTTCTCCCACCCTTGACATTATTCCACCTCTGAGGATGCCTGCCATAGATGTGGGCAAAACGTCAGGAGAGAATGCTTCTGGAATTGCAGCATGCACACTTGCCTCAAACAGACAAGAGTTCTTTCCCTGGACATTATTCTACAGATATATAAACCTAACTTGCCTAGTTTCCAACAGACCTCACCACCTCTGAAGATGCCTGCCATAGATATGGGTGAAACGTCAGGAGAGAATGCTGCTGGGTTGTGGCAGGCATCCTCAGAGGCTGTAAGGTTTGTTGGAAATTGGCAAATGAGTTTATATATCTGTGGAATAATGTCCAGGTGTTTGAGGCAAGTGTCAACTCTGCAATTCCAGAAGCATTCTCTCCTGACGTTTCGCCCACATCTATGCCAGGCATCCTCAGAGGTGGTGAGGTCTGTTGGAATCTAGGCAAGGGAGGTTTATATATCTGTGGAATGACGTCCAGGGTGGGAGGAAGAACTCTTGTCTGCTTGAGGCAAGTGTGAATGTTGCAATTGGCCACCTTGATTACCACTGAATGGCCTTGCAACTATAACTCCCCAAACTCAAGGTTAACGCCCACCAACCCTTTCTGGTATTTTGTGTTGCAAATGTTAAGGTCTATTTCCCCCCAAACTCCATTTGTGTTCATATTTGGGCATATGGAATACTCGTGCCGAGTTTGGTCCAGATCAATCATTGTTTGACTCCACACTGCTCCCTAGATGGAGGTGAACTACAACTCCAAAACTCAAGGTCAATGCCCAGCAAACTTTTCCAGTATTTTCTGTTGGTCATGGGAGTTCTGTGTGCCAAGTTTGGTTCAAGTCCATTGCTGGTGGAGTTCAGAATGCTCTTTGGTTGCAGATGAACTATAAATCCCAGCAACTACAACTCCCAAGTGTCAAGGTGTATTTTCCCCCAAACTCCACCAGTGTTAACATTTGGGAATATTGAGTATCCGTGCCAAGTTTGGGAATTCTGTCGTTGGTGGGGTTCAGAATGCTCTTTGATTGTAGGTGAACTATAAATCCCAGCAACTACAACTCCCAAGTGTCAAGGTCTATTTTCCCCCAAACTCCACCAGTGTTAACATTTGGGAATATTGAGTATCCGTGCCAAGTTTGGGAATTCTGTCGTTGGTGGGGTTCAGAATGCTCTTTGATTGTAGGTGAACTATAAATCCCAGCAACTACAACTCCCAAGTGTCAAGGTGTATTTTCCCCCAAACTCCACCAGTGTTAACATTTGGGAATATTGAGTATCCGTGCCAAGTTTGGGAATTCTGTCGTTGGTGGGGTTCAGAATGCTCTTTGATTGTAGGTGAACTATAAATCCCAGCAACTACAACTCCCAAATTTCAAGGCCTATTTTCCCCCAAACTCCACCAGTATTCGCATTTGGGCAGATTGAGCATCTATGCCAAGTTTGGTCCAGATCCATCATTGCTAGAGTCCACAGTGCTCTCTTGATGTAAGTGAACTAGAACTCCCAAACTCAAGGCCAATGCCCACCACACCCTTTCAAGTTTAGTTCAATGTCATTGTTGGCCGAGTTTATAATACTCTATGATTGTAGGTGACACTATAAATCCCAGTAACTACAACTCCCAAATGTCAAGGTCTATTTTCCCCAAACTAGGTGAACTAAAACTCCCAAACTCAAGGTCAGTGCCCACCAAACCCTTCCAGTATTTTCTTTTGGTCATGGGAGTTCTGTATGCCATGTTTGGTTCAATTCCATTGTTGGTGGGGTTCATTGGGAAGGCGGAGAAACATTGTCCTAAAGGTTTCAGCAGGGGCCACTGATCCATGAATAAGTCCATGTAAAAAAATTAATTTGCTTTAAAGGAGGAAGCATCTTACCGTCCTGGTTGGCCCATTCCCAGTCGGGGCCCCGGACCACTTTCGCACCCTGAAACGTTCCCTTCAAAGTGATGCGTGGCAAGTTCTGTCGCGGACTCACAGTAACTCTGTAAGAAGGGGGAGAAGAAACACCATTTTTGAGTTGCGGCGGCAAAAAAAGCCAATGGGATTTTGGCCTCAGGCATCAATAGGAGCCTAGTGTCTAGATCTAGGGAAGTCATGCTCCCCATGCTCTATTCCGCCTTGGTTAGACCACTTTACCTGGAATACTGTGTCCAACTCTGGGTATTGATGAGAGATATGGACAAGCTGGAATGTCTCCAGAGGAGGGCGGCTAAAATGATCAGGGGTCTGGAGAACAAGCCCTATGAGGAGCGGCTTAAGGAGCTGGGCATGTTTAGCATGAAGAAGAGAAGGCTGAGAGGAGATATGATACCCATGGATAAAATACGTGAGAGTAAGTCATAGGGAGGAGGGAGACTAGGACGCAATGGAGCCATGGCTTCAAACTACAAGAAAGGAGATTCCATCTGAACATGAGGAAGAACTTCCTGACTGTGAGAGCTGTTCACCAGTGGAACTCTCTGCCCAGGAGTGTGGTGGAGGCTCCTTCTTTGGAAGTTTTGAAACAGAGGCTGGATGGCCATCAGTCGGGGGTGCTTTGAATGCAATTTTCCTTGACAGCAGAAGGTGTCACCCCAAAGGAGAGTAATCACTGCTTATGGTGATTGTGTTGATGTGAGTACTGTGCGTCGTTGGGCAAGTAAGTCTAAAGATGTTGAGGTGACACCTTCTGCTGTGAAGAATTCAATGACTGCACTTGTTGTTTATGTTGCATTGACCGTCTGCGCAGGTTTCCATACTTCACACTTTAACAACACAACCGTTCAATGCTAAAGCTTCCTGTCAAAATGGAACTGTAGAGGAGAGTCTACTGAACAAGCCAGTACCTGCCGCATACAGTGCTTTAGTCGCATTGACCAATCTTCTGCGCAGGGTTCCATATTTCACACTTTAACAACACAACCGTTCAATGCTAAGGCTTCCTGCCAAAATGGAACTGTAGAGGAGAGTCTACTGAACAAGCCAGTACCTGCTGCATACGGTGCTTAAGTTGCATTGACCGACCTTGTGCAGGGTTCCATACTTCGCACTTTAACAACACAACCGTTCAATGCTACGGCTTCCCACCAAAAGGAAACTGTAGAGGAGAGTCTACTGAACAAGCCAGTACGTGCTGCATACCAGTACTGCCATCTGTTGAGGAGTTACGAAGGTGGAGGCATTACAACACAACCATTCAATGCTAAGGCTTCCCACCAAAATGGAACGGTAGAGGAGAGTCTACTGAACAAGCCAGTACCTGCCGCATACCAGTACTGCCATCTGTTGAGGAGTTACGAAGGTGGAGGCATTACTTTTCATTTAACCCTAACCGTTCAATGCTAAGGCTTCCTGCCAAAATGGAACTGTAGAGGAGAGTCTACTGAGCAAGCCAGTACCTGCCGCATACCAGTACTGCCATCTGTTGAGGAGTTACGAAGGTGGAGGCATTACTTTTCACTTTAACAACACAACCGTTCAATGCTAAAGCTTCCTGCCAAAATGGAACTGTAGAGGAGAGTCTACTGAGCTAAAGCTACGAGCCCGCCAGAGTTGTACCTACATGATAGTAAAGTCTGGATCCGCCGTCCGATTAAAACAACTCCCGATGCCCATTACGCTCCTGCGTTGATTCCGCCTTGACCCTTCTCCAAACCCCTTTCCTCCGGTCCTCACATCGAGCCGGAGGGGGATCTCCTTCCCAGTCGTCTAAGCCTCTCTCGTACGCGAAAAAAGAATATCCGAATCCACGAGGAGAGGAAACATCCCGCTACGCTGAGCACCTTATGTAGCCCGTCCTCTAATACTTGACGACAGCTTGGTTGGATAAACCCCTTAACGGCGCCCGAGCGGCCTACTCCGGCACGGAAATAAACCTCGCGTTAATTAACAGACTCCCCGGGCAGGACGGGAAGACTTTACGGAGAACGACGGGAAAAATAGAGTTGTGCACAGACGAGGATATCGGAAAGCTTTTCGTAATGAGGGCAACGCAATCATGATGGTCACTCATTGAGTTGTTAGGTGTCTTGTGTCCAAATTGGGTGTCAATTCGTCCAGTGGTTTTTGAGTTATGCTAACCCCCACAAACGAACATTATGTTTTTCTTTATATAGACTAGCCATCCCCTGCCACGTGTTGCTGTGGCCCAGTCTGTGTATATGCTGTGTGTGTGTATATTTGTGTATATATGTGTGTTTGCATATATATAGATAGATAGATGTATATGTGCATATGTGTGTATATATTTGTGTATTTCTGTCTTTATACGTACATATGTATATTGTGTATATGTGTGCAATTGTGTATATATGTGTGTACATATGTCGATATGTATATGTGTGCATATGTATATGTAAATTTGTGTGTGCTTGTGTACATGTGTGTGTGTATATGTATATATAGTATGTGTATATATGTGTGTTTGCATATAGATAGATAGATGGGTGTATATGTGTGTGCATATGTGTGTATATATTTATGTATTTCTGTGTTTATATGTGCATATGTGTGTGCATATGTGTGCTCTTGTGTATATATGTGTGTATGTATGTCTATATGTATATGTGTGCATATGCATATGTATATTTGTGTATATATGTGTGTATATATAGTATGTGTATATATGTGTGTTTGCATACATAGATAGAGATAGATGGGCGTATATGTGTGTGCATATGTGTGTATAAGTGTGTATATATTTGTGTATTTCTGTGTTTATATGTGCATATGTATATTGTGTATGTGTGCGCTTGTGTATGTATGTGTGTATGTACGTCTATATGTATATGTGTGCATATATATACACGTATGTGTATATCTCTGTGTGCCTGTGTATATATGTGTGTGTCTGTATGTACGTATGTGTGCATGTGTATACGTGTATGTACATATGTATATATAGTTTATTTTTGATGGTTTGAAGTCCATTTTGCTGGGGTTTTTTTGTGTGTTTTAGGGGTGATGGTCACTTGTTTGCCTGAGAGGTGTGTTGTGTCCAAATTTGGTGTCAATTATGTTCATCCCACAAACGAACATTACGTTTTTATTTATATAGATTTATTATTTTACTCTATTTTATTCATTTTTATTTTTATTCTTATTCATTTTTATTTTTTCCAATTTCTTATTATTACATATACATTATTTTATTCTTATTTTTCCCAGTTTGTTATTATTACATATACAATATTTTATTCTTATTTATTTTTATTTTTCCCAGTTTGTTATTATCACATATACATTATTTTATTCTATTTAATTTTTTCCAGTTTGGTATTTTACATATATACATTATTTTATTCTTATTTATTTATTTTTATTTTTTCCCAGTTTGTTATTATTACAAATACATTATTTTATTCTATTTCAATTTTTTCCAGTTTGGTATTTTACATATATACATTATTTTATTCTTATTTATTTATTTTTATTTTTTCCCAGTTTGTTATTATTACATATACATTATTTTATTCTATTTTTTATTTTTTCCCAGTTTGTTATTATTACATATACATTATTTTATTCTATTTTTTATTTTTTCCCAGTTTGTTATTATTACATATACATTATTTTATTCTATTTTTTTTATTTTTTCCAATTTCTTATTATTACATATACATTATTTTACTCTTATTTATTTTTTAATTTTTTCCAGTTTATTATTATTACATATACATTATTTTATTCTTATTCATTTTTTAATTTTTTCCAGTTTGTTATTATTACATATGCGTTATTTTATTCTTATTCATTTTTATTTTTTCCAATTTCTTATTATTACATATACATTATTTTATTCTTATTTTTCCCAGTTTGTTATTATTACATATACATTATTTTATTCTTATTTATTTTTATTTTTCCCAGTTTGTTATTATCACATATACATTATTTTATTCTATTTAATTTTATCCAGTTTGGTATTTTACATATATACATTATTTTATTCTTATTTATTTATTTTTATTTTTTCCCAGTTTGTTATTATTACATATACATTATTTTATTCTATTTTTTATTTTTTCCCAGTTTGTTATTATTACATATACATTATTTTATTCTATTTTTTATTTTTTTCCAGTTTGTTATTATTACATATACATTATTTTATTCTATTTTTTATTTTTCCCCAGTTTGTTATTATTATATATACATTATTTTATTCTTATTCATTTTTATACTTTTTTGAGTTTGTTATTATTGCATATACATTATTTTATTCTATTTATTTTATCCAGTTATTATTACACATACATTATTTTATTTTTATTCTATTTAATTTTTTCCAGTTTGTTATTATTACATATACATTATTTTATTCTTATTTATTTTTTAATTTTTCCTAGTTTGTTATTATTACATATACATTATTTTATTCTTATTTATTTTTTAATTTCTTATTATTACATATACATTATTTTATTCCTATTTATTATTATTTTTCCAGTTATTATTACATATACATTATTTTATTCTTATTTATTTTTTAATTTTTCCCAGTTTGTTATTATTACATATACATTATTCTATTCTATTTAATTTTCTTTCCAGTTTGGTATTTTACACATATACATTATTTTATTCTTATTTATTTTTATTTTTCCCAGTTTGTTAATATTACATATACATTATTTTATTCTATTTATGTTTTCCCAGTTTGTTATTATTACATAAACATTATTTTATTCTTATTTATTTTTTAATTTTTCCCAGTTTGTTATTATTACATATACATTATTCTATTCTATTTAATTTTTTTTCCAGTTTGGTATTTTACACATATACATTATTTTATTCTTATTCATTTTTATTTTTTCCAATTTCTTATTATTACATATACATTATTTTATTCTTATTTTTCCCAGTTTGTTATTATTACATATACATTATTTTATTCCTATTTATTATTATTTTTCCAGTTATTATTACATATGCATTATTTTATTCTTATTTATTTTTATCTTTTCCCCAGTTTGTTATTATTACATATACATTATTTTAT